ATGTTGATAATTACAAATGTGCATATTAAATATTTTACAGTAGGCTTTATAGGGTTAAGCTGTAAACTTGTAAATGTGTAAAACTACATGCAAATTTGTAAGACAGGAAGTCTGTACAAACCAAGGGTTCCAATGTGCTGATGTCTTTCAGTTTGTTGCCACTTAGGTTTAGATGTGTGAGATTGGGGAGTTTTTCAGCTAAAACATCAAGGCCACCAGAGATTCTGTTGTCACTGAGTTCCAACTAAAAAACAAACATGCATACATATCAGAACACAAGATAAAGACAAGATAATTTCACATTCTTAACAGAGACCAATAAACACACTGATTACCTTTTTAAGTTTCCCAAGTTTAGGGAGGTTGGAGACCGAGAGTAGACCAACATTTATCAAACTTAGAAACTCAAGATTAACAAATTCTGCTGTGAGGCCTTCAATTTTCCCTTCATTTGATCTGCAGTTGTCAAGGACAAGTTCTCGTACCTAGAAACAACCAACATAAGAGGAAAAATATAAATACTAAAAGTAATGTGTTAACAACATGGAATCATAGGAGCAACAATTCAAATTTTAGCAGGCAGGGGAGTTGGACACGTTGGCCAACATGGCCATGCTCAATGGAGGCGACAAACTATGCTGGTAAAAAAAAAAAAAAAAGTTTCTCAACTGGGGAAAAAAACCCAAGGCGGCGACCCTTGCAAATACACTTGTTTTTAAAATGTTTTGGGGATTTAAAGGTTTTTAAGTTGCCATGCACGTTCGATAAGAGTTTAGTCAAGAAACTAATCTGAAAACCACTGAATAATGTTTGCTAAGCGGTTGCTGCTGTTGTTGTATGGCCCTATGGCTCAGACTGTCGCAGCGAGTCGCCAATGAGAAAACAGCAGATTACACGCCGACAGCCAGACTACATGGACATATCCTAAAGACACCACAATCTTTTGTGACATTTTGTGTGACAAACTGCAAATGGAGGGTATTTATGAGCTTGTGTAGGATGGAAGCGATGTGTCGATGGCGTATTTCTGCTGCGAAAGACGAAGACAGCGCGGAAATTAGTGAGACAAAAATGGAGAGTTTCTTTCTCTCATGACAACATGGCGCCTCCTCAGATAGGCTACATTGACAGAAACTCTACACATTAACCAAAACTCAATGCTGCGTTTGAAAACCTGACTATATGCTGTTATTCATGTCACCGGATATTTTACGCGACGTTTACTTGATTTTAAAACTGAACTTAAAACATTTCCGCCGGATTGCCCAACCAAACTAGCACATGTAACGTTAGCATCTATTTATGCAGTCTCTCGTTACGTCTTTGCAAACGTTAAGCTACATATTGTATCTTAAAAACGTTTGAAAATCATCAGAGTGAGTATTTGAGTATAAGCGTTAGTTCAATCGGTAATGGCGCGTGGGGAGTAATGGCGGGAATCAGCGCCTCGTAGCAGCGAGTAACGTAACAATTCAACACGATCTTATTAACGAATACATGTTAAATACTATATGGTTTAATATTACTTTTGAGCATATCTTAGCAAATTGGCAAACTTTTTTTTGTTTTAATCTCAGTTTATTCATATAATCGTAAAGTCTTCGTGCCCTTTAGAATAAAATTCATAATTCGACTATGTTCGTCAAATTATAGATTTACTTTATTTTTTTCAACTGGTGGTCTTATTATTACTATACCAGAACATCGTAGGAATGGAGGAGTTGTGTTTTATAGTGATGGAGACCAAAATGTGTTAGTGTATGGCTATCTTCAGAGTATAGCTGGTTTATTACTTTAGCTTTTAAGTGCCTGTAATAAAGGGCGCCTCATGTTAGCAACAAACATGGCCACCACGGTGAAATAAACCATCCCATCCATATCCTACCACGCCGATGTTAAAATAAGCGAATATTAAGCATAAAAGCATGCCAGATCACGAATACACACATCCAGCATGGGGGGCTTAAAATGCTGCAATAATGCCTTGAGCTTTCCAAACTAACGTTACTCAGTATGGCTTACACAGTCTGGATCATTTCATATCAAAACAGACGACTGAACATTAATGCTGTGAATATACACGCAGCACTTTCTCGTCTAACTCTGTACCGGGGGTATTACACCCATGTGCTTACCATTAAACTACACACAGGTCAGTGAAAGTAGCACACAAAACTAAAGGTTTGGCTCAAATTACTCACATCAGATGGTGTCCTGTTCCTCAGCTCCAAATGAATCCTCTTTTTCATGTCCATATCGCCCCTCAAAAGTTGGACTCTTCCCTCTTGGGTTCTGGAGGAATTTCTGTTCAGCCCAAAAGGTAGAAAGATGCCTTAATGGAGGGAGGATATGGGACTGTATAATGATCTGAGCCCAGCGCCAAGTTACTCTGGGAGAGCAGAAACCATGGAGGGAAACGGCACTGAAACAAATATATACTCAATAGCGCCATCTCTGGCCAACAACGCCCACTGCAGTCACACAAACACGAGATAGAACGGCGCTGCATTACAGCATGTGACATCAAAAGTTTGTCTAAATGTTGTAATTCAAGTAAAATTTGTAGGAAGTGTGCCATATATGTTTAATTCTATGTAACTTATTGTTTACATAATCAATAAATAATGTGTATTATGGCTTTTAAAATTCATGTATCATCTGGGGAACTTGAATTATAGGCAAACACAGAACCCTGTTTTTATCTGTCTGGGTTCAAATGGCCTTGTCATTATTTGATGGTGTATCTGCAATAGAACGTGTTAACTATAACATTGTATTTTCTTTCTTACATCAAGTTACAAGTTATTCTAGCTTAGCCAGCCTACATGTGATGAATGCAAATAATATGTTTAAAAACAGACAGCAAGATATTCCTTAAACTCTAAAATGTTTCACAAATGAAATAATTGCATATTCAGTTTTTTTTTCATATAGCCAAATGTAGTGTTCTCTTCCCATCCACTATATTATTATCTAAAATATATATTATATGTGATGTCTTGTTTTAATAAGACATTTCCCTACTATGACTTTTTAATAATGTTTATACATTAATGGCCATGAATTAATTTTATTAGGTTAATGCTTAATCTGTAAACCACTTTATACAGATTCAACCCACTATTAAATTATTCTAAATGAACAACAAACAACATTTCTCTCTTTGAAATTAGTTTCATGTTCTTGCTATTCAGAGAGACAACAAACTGTTACAACATTTTTTCTTTTATTTGGGGTTTCTATAATTTATACTATTTAAATTATACATACAATATATATATTGCAAAAAAAGTAAAATAGTTGTTTTATATATTGTTTCTATTTGTTTAACCTGTGTTAATGTTATAAACAACAAGTTCACTTGCTGTGTAGGAACTTGCCAGAAGAGGGCATCATTTTGTTTCATGTTTCTACATTGTCAGGTCTCTCTCATCCTGCAATATTAGAGACAAAGAATTATCTGAAACTAAGGGGTAATAACTCATGACACTTACAAAAGTATATGCAAAGGAGAGTCACATTACATTAAACAAACTAGCAATAAGAGCTATAAGCATCTTGAGGCAGCAAGAACCAAGGGGCCACAGAGTCAACTGCAACTCTAAATGTGTTACACGTTACATTTATTTAATATTTCAAGAGAAACCATTTAGAAAATATCCACTCCAGACACCTACAAAGCTCACCTACAACAATAAAGACACTCAAACGTCCCAGATTTGTTGGTAAATAACACACAAATTTGCACCTATGAGAACCCCTTACCTTGTTTTAACCAGCACTGTATTCCAACATGTTAGGAGATTTGTAACAGCGAAGTCATCTTATTTCTATCTTAGTCCAGTAATTGCACAGCTGCACACTGGCCAGAGAATATGAGGCTGATTGTACATGATGCATAGCTATTCTCTCATGATATTCCATGTGCTCCAGGATGACAAGAACTCAAAATAAACTGCAAACCATTTTTTTAATAGGGTAGAGTCAAACACCTTCCATGGCCTCTCTGACTACTCACATCTTTGAACATGTACTTCATCCTACAAAGAACTGGAGGCTTGTCTTGTCATGAAGAATAATGCAATATCTCACACATGCTTCAACTGTTCTGTAGGCATCTCAATATTAAAATGCTGTTCATCAGTATTGCTGTTATGCTGGTGGAGGTTAACCAAATTATAACAATGGGAGAGAGAAAACTAAGCATTTAATTTGAATGAAATAGGGGAAAGTAATCTGTTGTGAAAAGTGTAAAAATGTATAAATAAATGTTAAACTATTTTAATTTAGGATACATTTTGAATGTCTATGGTAATATTTAATTCATTGACCTCAGAACTGTTCAAGGCTGTTGATGCACAGTATCTACTTAATGGCGGGAGAGCAGACCTCAATATGTTTTGACATGATTGTGAACGCCCAGAAAGTGAGCAGCAGAGATAAAATGGTTATGTATGAGTGGCCAGAGAGGTCAGGCACATTGCAGCCATTTAGACTATTCAAATAACATGGAAATACTGAATGCAGAAACACCTTTAATGTCAGCATCATTTTTTTTATCACTTTGAAATGGGATAGTTTATTGTGGCTGGGAAGTTTTTAACTGTGGTGTCGTCAAACTACAAAAGACTAACAATTAAAGAGACAGTATCTCTGTGTAAGGATTCATTAATTTGTGAATAGACCATAGGGTACATGTTTATTTATTTTATTTTTAAATAAAATCTTTTGATTATACTGTACCATGATTCCATTCTTTGTCTTGGTCAATCTACAGTAGATTCATTTAAATCTAATGTTAATCTCTATTAGTTTATATATGCATATATATATATATATATTTTTTTTTTATTTTTTTTTTTTATTTATGATTTAGCTACATGTTTGACATGGCCCTTGACCAGGTTAGGAATAGCGGTCATCTCTCATGACGACAGACAAACAGTCACATAAATGCACAGGCTGTCAGACCCATGACCTCCTTTTTTTACTTTCTTCTGTGAGTATTGTGCCAAGTTCTCCACCTTTGCAAATAAGATAAGAGCACAACTGCAAGAACTCTCCCAGCACTGCGGTAATGTTTAACCAGATAATTATTCTCTTAGCAGCAGGAAAAGTAAATGGGCACAATTTTTTTCAGCCCTGTCATTTCAATACTTCATATTCATGTGACAGGACAACAAAATGGAAGAGACATTGGAGAAAGAGATCGCGCCATTTGAAGTAAAAGATTCTAATGAAGGTATGAATTTTGATTTAAAACTTCATAATGAATCACTTTAAAAAAAAAAAACATGTTTTTTCATTATGAATGTATTCATTGTTTAACGATTAGTGACTTTAGTATTTTTAAAAAAAAATTTTGATGAAAAGGTTTGGATGAAACATTTTATCAGATGAAAAACTGAAAACAAAAAATAATTTGACTGTAATTTGCCCTGCATTTTATAAAATGACATTTATGTAAAAAAAATAATAATTAGCAACAATTAGATATTTAAAAGTTCTTGCAACAATGCTGAAGTTGGAATCCAGCTAACAGGGAACATTCTCAGAAGTTTGTTTAACATTGTGGCAAGGTTCTCACAAAATTATGAACAAAAGTTCTTTCAGTAACGTTGGCACAAAAATGTTATTTATACAGCACTCATAGAATGTTTTTTTCTGAAACGCTTTTAGTTGGACACTCGACTAATGTTTTTAAATGTTAATACTTAATAACATAAAAAATTAACATACCCATAATGTTTGGAATGGAATGGAATAAAGTAAAATGGAATGTTCCCTAAACGTTAGCATATAGCCAAGGACAAAACCCCCCCCCTGCATTTTGAATGTTCAGAGAACCTCAATAAATAATGATTTTATAACATAATGAGAACATTAGCAAAATGTTCTTAGAATATATCTTTGTTAGCTGGCAACAACCATAACTGGCGTGATTCTTATCTATGTCAATGCATCTACATTTCTTCTGAAACATGCACTGAGGGCCTTTTCATACACTTATGAATTCTGACTACTTGTGGTTGGTTTTACCTTAGCTAATGTTACGAAGTAAACTGCAATACCTTCAGCAGACAAAGCAGCAAAGGAGTGAGTGATTTGTTTGTTTGGTAGGTGGAATTCGGCTGCGATTGAGAGACAGAGACCTGTTGAAGAAACGAAAGGCTGAGGCAGAGGAAAAGGCAACCAACCAGTGGGTTTATGGGTAAAGCTAGTGTTGAATTAGGCCAATAAAAGCACTGGAAAAGGCCTAGAGCACTTATTTATTTTTCAGTTTATATGATATTGTGATATTATGACGCAAATGCACAAATAATGTATCTTAATATTGAACACAGGGCACAAAGCCTTAAAAGAGTGAAAAAGAAGACCAGTGGTACCCCAGGAAGGAAAGGTCGACCAAGAAAAGAACCGCCTGTAGTTATTCCAGAAGATCTCGGTCTGGCTCAGGAAACAGATCCTTCTCCTGACACACTTCCTATCACAGAACCTGTATTACCCACAATAGCAGAGACACTGCCTTTATTACCAGCTGAGCCACAACCAGAGCCGGCGCCGGCGCAAGTGGAAACAATGAGTGAAAAACCTCTGGAGGAGTTTCTGATTGAGGATCTGGGGCCTGATGAGGAGGAAGACATGCCTCAAAAAAGCTTTATCATTGATACAGGTATTTGCAGAAATGCCCCTTTTGTTTTCAACAGGGGTCTTCATTAATTAATGGGTGGTTCATTTATAAAATTAAGCATTTTATTTATTTATTTGTCTGAACAAATGAATAATGTCCATTGATTTTAGGTGATGACGAGCTGCCATGTGCTGACCTGAACAGTCAAGTCTCAATGGCAGTGTATCCTCCAGCATCTGCTCCTTCTCAACCTGAGAGTCTATCTGAGAATTTAATCATCTGAGTGTCACCCTTCTACAGAAAAATGAATTTAATCTAATTTACTATTTCAAAGGATTTCTAAACTGAAACAAGGACAAATCTATATTTATTAAAATTCTTCATGTCTCCATGTATATATACCACTTATCAGTACTCTGTCAAACAAAATCCATTCTATACATATTATAAAATATATAATAAAATAAAAACCGGAAATTGTTACAGTATAGTACTTTTGTGTTCTATGATTTTAAAGCAACTAGATCTTTGCCTTAAGCCTATATTACGAATAATCTTTGTTTAGTTTGTACAACGGACTATTTTAAAATAAAGTGGTTTTATACTTTGTCTTTGTCTAGTCATTTCGTCACTGAATTCTAAAACCATCACGCTCCTATGGGAATCAATTTTAGTATGCTAAAGGTGCACCACTGACAGCTAACGGTTGAAATGGGTACTGCAGTCCAAATTCAAAATACAGGAGAGTTGTTTTTCCTCCTCAGACTCGACGCTCACGCGGGTTGCTAGATTGAGGACAGGAACCAGTGCAAATATCAAAGGAAGGAAACAAGCCTTACACGCTGCGGTGCTGGGTAGATTACTTACAATTACAAATTGTAGTCCGTTACTGATTACATGATGAAAACTGCAGTTAGTAACGGAATCTAGGTTACTAATTTTAGGTAAAGTATTCCGACTACTTCTTAGATTACTTTTAGATTACATTATCTAATTTTCATTTAAAACAAAAAGCAAAAAGAAAGAAAATATTTGTTTTATGTTAACATCATGAAATGCATTAAATACTACATTACACCAGGGTTTCACTGATGTAAAATATTAAAATATATATAAAAATGTATATATATAAATTTTTTTTAAACTTTACATTTTTACACTAAAAATAGAAATATTGTATTTGTTTACCTGCATGTTAATATGAGCATTAAACAATACCAGAGAACTTTAAACATGTGAATGTGTTGTTCAATTATTTAGATATTAACTAAACTATTTTATTTTAAGGAGTTTGGCTGACAAAAACATTTGGGAATCACCGCATCAATAAATTATGAATAATTTACGGTCATTGTGTAAATAATATGTAATCATATATATTAAATAAATGATGTAATCCATAAAAAGTACCTGTAATCTCATTATGAGCATTTTAAAATGTAATGTCCTCTAATTACAAGTACATAATATTTGGAATCTGATTACATATAAGAAGTTACTACCCAGCTCTGACAACATAAGTTGATGAGTTTATCTATCCGCATTTTAATGTGTGTCTGGTTATAGAGATTTAGATCTGGGGCCCGTTCTTCGTAAGTCGCTTATTACATCCGAGATGAAATATCACATTCAAGATGGTATCATCGCGCCAATCAGGATCTGGCAAATTCGGTTCTTCGAACGCACATGTTGTTGATGATTAGTATGGCTAGATTGAGTTATCTTGGATAATTGTGCGTTCATGGGTTGGTTTAAAAGGGGCTCTGTATCGATACTCGAAACCACGATCAGCAATGCAGCGATTGGCTGGCGGCAAGACAGCAACGTAATGACATCATTTCATTAAAAAAGACACCTGACGAAAAACTTGACAAATTTCTGGACTTTTATAAGGAAACAGCCAAGCGAACAAAACTACATAAATGTTATAATAGATAAATGAAATGTGCAGTTTTTATTTTTTTTTACATGATTCCCAATTATTTATATTCACGATTTCTAATATTTGTACAGGCTTTACATGTTTATTTCAATGTAGTAATTAGCAATTAATGTAATATTTGAACAGATTTGTTACGTGACAGCATTAATTAAAGTTTCTCAAGTCAAGATCATGTTATCTGCATCTCCTGCGCTCCATCAAGCCACGCCCATAATAGCTGTCATCACTCAAATTAACGCACGACTCTACATTATCTGTATAGCATGTGTAAGACTCCAATACATTAATTATTCGAGTCTTACACACATTATGAAGTAATAATTTTATGACGAATAAATCTTTCAGTGAGTAAAACTGGCTTTGTCTGTAGTATTAAAGACTACACAACCTTATTATATTATCTTTAAATTAATTTTTAAATGATCATTATTTTAAATGATTGTCCCTGGATTAGTAGGGTACTCTTGTAATAAAGTAGCGGTGGTAGAGGACAGATTTGAAGTATAAATTCTGCTTAAAAAGATGCAATCTAATCCTGTTTACATGAAATAAACCTGCTCCCGAGCAGGTTTAAGCTTATGGACCTGTTGCTATGACAGCAACTCCAGGATGAGCTTCGAAGAACCAAACTATCCAAGATCATGCCAAATCATCAACAATCAAATCCAGCTAACTGAGTTAGCGACGTACGAAGAACGGGCCCCAGGTCAGGTAGAATCTGGAAACTCTGACACAGTTCATTTGCTGGCTTCCATACGCTGTTTTTTTTCTGCCAACTGGCCACACAGGGTATCAAAATAATACTGGTTAAACTGACAGTGGGTGAAATCACACAGACCAAAACAAAACCAGACATTTTGACACAGAACAGACATTTCAAAGTACAATAAATGGCTGCAGCATTGTTTTGTGGAGGAACATGTATGTGAACTTAGCATCTTAACTAAATACAGTATCAGCACACATTTCATGGTATTTTATGCTTTAGTAATGTCAAAAAATACATACGACACTTTTAATAAACCCAGCAGTTCACTGAAAACATTTAAAGTTTAAATGTAATAAATAATCATACACAAACTATATAGTAGATAGTATGTTAACATTAAGATCTATGCTGTGAACCATAAAAATATCTTAATGTGCTTTGTATTGAAGGCTATGAAATGATCTTTTTAGACTAAAATGAGTTAATCATTAATTAATAACACAAATTAAGGCATAGTTCACCCAAAAATGAAAATGACGTCACTGACTTTTTCTTCTGTGGAACACAAAGCCAATATTTTGAAGAATGATGGTAACTAAACAATTTTGGTGACCACTGACTTCCATTGTATGGACAAAAAGAAAAAAATATTTTATGGACATTTCTCTCAAAAAATGTTCCATAGAAAAATCAAGTCTTATGGGTTTGGAATGATATGAGGGTGAGTAAATGTTTACGGAATTTACATTTTTAGGTGAACTATCTCAATATTTATTCTTGAAAATGCGGGAATTTGACAAAAATCTCAGACAACATTTGTGAGTTCTTAACTCTGCATAGGTTTGACTCTCACAACCTCAGCAAAACCATCTCCAAACCAGCAGGTGATGTCAGCTGTATCCAGGGTGAAGAAGAACAGGCGGTCTTGACAACGCGTGCGACGATATACTGATCTAGGGTCAGCTGACAGAATGCCTTTGATGGCTGCCACTGCTTCTTCTGGTCCTTTCAAGAACTGGAACTTTGGTTTTGTGCGGTCTATGAATAAAAAATAATTTAGAAATATTGCAACTGCCTTCATTAGAAAAAAAACCTTAGGCATCAGAAAGATCTAATACCTGTACTGTTGCAGGAAACAAACTCTTTGAGCTCTTTCTCAGCATTGGCAGTAAACCGCACGTCTAGGTTACTGACAGGAGGTGCCCTGACCCAGGCAGCGATAGTACTGTAGTCCTCACATCCAAATTTAAGACTGGATGAACTTAAATGGTTGGTTGACAATGAATTGCGTTCAGGAGAATCTGTCTGTTTGTCTTTTGGACTTTCAGTGAAAAGCTGCTGTTGTTTGACATAGTTTTTAACCTCCGCTAACACATCAGTCACATCACTGGATCCAGACCTTTCTGACTGAGAGAAATCTGAAGGTCCAGCTGGACAAACTCTGAGCACTGAGGAGGGTTCAGATGATGTCCCTGAGATGTTTGGTTCTTCGTCTAGATCCATCACTTGGGGCATCTGAGAGTCTGTGAATGGTGATGTTTGTCTATATTCACTGTTGGTATCATCTCTTCTTGTTTTTGGAGAATCGTAGTCTGGAATATATGGCTTGATGTCTAGCACAGGTGTTCCAGCGATAATATCAATGCCTGACAAGTGAAGTGTATCCCCTTGAAAATCAAATGACAAAGGATTACTATATTGCTATATTCAGCATGTTAAAGGGTCTTTCAAATCATAGGTTCCCTCAAATTAATTTTATGATCTTATGACGGTAAAGAACACATTTTCATATGGTAAACTAGTATACTATGACAAACTTGATGTTACACTAGTTGTCCTGTTAAAGGGTTAGTTCACCCAAAAATGAAAATTAGGCTGTGTTTTACTCACCCCCAAGGTATCCTAGGTGTATATGACTTTATTCTTTCAGACGAATCCAGTCGAGGTTTTTGATTTTCAAGCTCTATCGTTGCAGTCAGCGGGTGCTGCATTGCTTCAGTCCAAAAGAAGTTAAATAAAAATCGCCCATCCATAAAAAAAAAAGTGTCTCACACGG